TGAAACCTGAGCAAGTATGCGTGCCGGGGATCATGCTGACACACCTGTTCAAAGATCCAGCTGCTCTTACCTGGTGAGGTGCCGCTCCAGTGTGTTTGCTTGTTTTTGTATATCTTTAAAAAAGTGTTTTTTCTGGGGAATACTGGATCTATCTGAATCAGAAACACGCTCAGTGGAGATGATGGAGACACCAGAGCCATCATGTCGAGATGTGTGTTGATGGGCGAAGCATTTTTAGAATCAAAACAAAGATGTTGGGTAAAAACGCTCCCCTCCCCACCAGAAAATGTCATGTTTTTCCCGTACCAGACAAGCCGGTAAGCGGTGGTGTGTTTGCACTGTGAACGATTACTTGTGTACTTAGCAGCACCTCCAGCACATCTGTGGGAATGCTGTCATTTAGCCCAGGGTCTTGGAGACCCATCCATATTTAATGGTGTGCAGACAATCCTCTGACTATTTATGCATCGTTTTATCCACCTGCTAGGAAAACTCATCTTTTATTCACCGCTTTTCCACTTTATCTGTCATTAGCAAACTGAGGCCCATCTGGCTTCCTGCTTTGCATCCTTCCTTTCATCTTTCTTCTTTTCACTTACAATTTTCAATGAAAGTTGAGTTTTATTTAGAGGGATGGACGGAATAGGAAATGGCTCTAAAGAAATGCTTTAAAAAAGGAGTTAAAAGAGGTTCTACGTGCACTGATTTAATACATGGTTCTTCATTTTTAAACTTATTATACAATGAACTTTGTGTTTAATATCCTTTCTATTGCTGTGTGTCTGTATATGTGCGTGTGTGTGCGAGTGTGTGTTTTCTATCCACTCGATTCACATTGTTTGATGATGGCCCTGACCCAAATACAGCAACTATTCATCCCTGTCCACCCTTTTCATCGGAAACACACACAGAAATACAGCGTGGGTGTGCACACACACATTCACTCTTCCATTCAAATGAGCACTTTATCCCAGTTAAAAGAGCCACTTCACTTGTCCCTCACCCCAGATTTCACCACTCAAACACCCCATCACTGTGCGGGAGGTGAGAACTAATGAAAAACAGGTAACAGGGGAAAAAAAAGTTAATTTCTCCCCTTTCGTCTCAGCAGTCATAATGGAGGTATGTATAAATCTGCCAGATGGTTATGGTTTGGTCTTTTCATTCAAGCCTTACAGAGCTTTATCTGAAAGAAAAAAAAAAGCTAGACTGCCAAATGGAGAACACATTATGTTTGTATCTCATTGTCGTGTGTCATTCTTTGACTTGTGCGTGTGTGTGGTGCTGCCTTTATGTTGCTTGGGCCTCTATGAGAGCACACAAACACATGTAAATGGAGAGGCTCTCTGTACAAGAGCTTTACATTTATCTGTTCCACTCTGAGATGGTGGCTGCTGTTGCACAACCAAATACTTATATTTGGATTTGGGTAAAGCGGGGAGGGGCGGTTTCATCTTTGTGTTTGATAAATGAGTCTGAGCTTCTCCTCTGGGTGCTACGGTATAAGTGGTGGTAGGGGTAGCAGCGGAACAATGAGCATGTGAGATGTAGAGATTAATGGTTGCTTCTTCTTTTAGCGATGTAGGTCTGGCTGGGCCCATCAGCGGAGGAGAGGAGATGGCTGCTAAATTACCTCTTTTGCCGCTCACCTGTCGAGCAGTAGTCTGGCATTTTTAAATGCAAGACAGAAGGATCATCAGCATGAAGAGCTCTTAGTAAATTGTGGTCTTGCCTTGTGTGGTGAAAGGGTCCCTGTTGAAAAGTCTGGTCAAAAATGTTTAGACATTTAAGTGAGAAGGAAGAAAGCTTTAGTCTGTCGGTAAATGTAATGCCTAGGAGCATTTTATCCTTTGAAGCACTTTAAAGCTGTCAGACAGCCATATATGGAGTGCCTTTAGATTCTTTTGTGTGGTTGTGTGTTTTGTTAAGGATAACTAGCCAAAATTAACATTTCAAAAAAAAAAAAAAGATACCTGCAGTTTTCCTCTTTTAGCCGTCCAAGCTGAGACTATTTCATAGCCTGAGATGCCAGCTGAAACATTAAACTGGTAGGATAAATAATAAGGCTCTTGTCTCAGCATGGGTTTCTTAGCTCTGAGCCCTAATTAGTTTTCTGGGCATTTTTTTTGTCACCTTAAAGTAACTATACCTATTATTAGGTGTTTTTCAGGGCTGGTATTTGAAGTAATTTTGGGCATATCTATCTATCTATCTATCTATCCATCTATCCATCCATCCATCCTTCCTTCCTTCCTTCCTCACAAACATTCACACCTACAGGCAATTTAACATCACCAGTTAACCTAACACCACTAACTGCATTTTTCAGGACTGTGGTAGGAGGAAGAAATGACCCATACATACACAGGGGAGCATGCAAACTCGACACAGAAAGGCCAGGTGGAGGATTTGAACCCATCACCTTCTTGAGGCAACAGTGCTAACATATATAGCACAATGGTGTGGTGGTTAGATTGTATGTATAGATAGATAGAAAGATCCATAATTTGTCTACTGTGGCACTGAATCAGATTTTAAAGCAGATTTTCTGTTGTTCGGGAGCCTGAATTATCACTTTTCTCAAAATCCCCTTGTGTATTCACAACCATTTATCACACATTTTCTTTCTTTATTTGGAGTAACGCTTTGCTCGGATGACAGTTCTGGGCTTTAATATGACTAATACACTATTTTTTTTACTAGAAAAACTGTGTATTAAATGACAATGTGAAAACAATGTGAAAGCTGTTTCTTGCAGCACTCAGCTGAGGTCTTCTCTCAGGAGTACAGACCAGAGGCAGAACTAAAAGAGAATGAATTTTTGACCTGTATTCACCAGATGACCAAAAACGCATCTTCAGATGAGATAAAATTGAGTGCAGTGCTTGTTCTGTGCACCTCAGCCACAGTCAGCAGATTAGCTGATGGCTCAGCTGATGCAACTGGGATACTCTCATATAGGGCATGCTATTTTCAGTCTGCCTATGGTTAGAAAACACTGCAAGCCACTTTGCAACAAACTTCCACCTTTTATGTTGTGTCCAACTTAATAAACACATCTTTTGTCACTAATGCCCGCTCTCTTCCATCATTCCAGCTTTGCAAGTATGCACATGGAGGGGAGGTTCCATAACAGTTCTCTGTGTGGAAAACTGGACTTGTACACTTTAAACAATGTAGGGCGAATGAGGAAGACTACAACAATTGTTTTTCTTCTCATTAGGGTCATTTTTGAAAGTGTTTTAAGAACCAGCAGTTTCCAGGATTTAGAATGGTACAATTATATAGGTATTGCTGTAAAACTGAATCTACAGGGTGTGAGTAAAAAGTGTTTGCATCTCACGCGAACTTTCTAAATGATACATTCAAAAGCTGTTTTTGTCTTTGAACTTAATTGGTGTCACAAGCCCAGTTTTTGTCACATTTTAATGCACTTAATCTTCGCTTTGTGTCAGCCCCGCTCCTGAGGCCCATGCACATCAACCTAATTGCGCATTATGAATCACTGGAAACAACAGTGTCTCTGTAAAAAAGACCCAAGGCTCTTTGAGGGTTGCACAGTACAGTAGAGCCACCCTGGTCCTGGATGAAATAGCCCCATAGATCTTCATAAAGACACCACAGCTTCCTCCATCGCAGCAGCTGAGATCCATCTGAGTCACGCAGGTTCGCTGCAGTGTGTGTGTGTGTGTGTGTGTGTGTG